ATCTTCCTTTTGGGGTGATCCTGGGAGCCTGGTGTTCTTTTCTGAGCTTTAAACCTGTGGCAAGGAGGGGGCAGCAATGGCAGCCCAGCCTTGCAGGCACCTGGTCTTTGTGGGCATGGCTTTTAGATGGTGGAAGAAGAAAAACTGGGATATTTGTAAATATCAGATGGTGGAGATTGAAGGAGAGGGGGGAACTGCAGTTCTGGCTGGCTGGTAGTTTTCCTTTCAGATATTGAGAAAGTTGGGATGCTGGTCAAGGAAGTGAGCTGATTGGAGCTGCAATAATTTATCAGTCAGAGCAAGTGGCGATTTGTACAGGAAAATAAATGTGGCAGATAAAATAAAGAGTTCAAGGCAACCGTGAGCTTCTGAGGTTTAAATCATGCAGTGAATGGTTGGGCTTGGGTGGGAGCTCTGGGCTCTCCCAGCCCAAGCCCTGTGCCTGGATTAACTCCAGAACTTCCTCCAGCACAGGCAGGTGTGCCCAACATCTTCTCCCAAGGGCAGGGAAGGGTTAACCAAGCAACCAGCTCCGAAGAGCTGTAATTTAAACTCGGGAATACACTGACTTTATAGTTAGGGAAATTGAAGCACAGTGGGATCAAGTGACCTACTAACATCTCCCAGTCAGGAAACAGCAGGGCAAGTCCTTGAATGTGACTGTTCTGAGGTCCCTCTCCTCCACTCCTTTTATTAGGTCGTGTTGCTTCCCAGGATAACATGTTTGCACAGTTTGGGAGCACAAGCTGTTTCCTTGCAGAAATATTACTGCTCTGTGTTCCCAAACTGGAGAGACACCGAATCTGAAAACAGATTTAATTCTTGTTTTGAAAAACGTAGCAAATGAGGTTTAAAAATATGAGAGGCTGCCAGTCTGCTGTTCTAGTTGCAGTATCTGGGTTGTGATTAGGAAAATATTAGAAATCTGCTGCTGCTTTCCAGTGTCATTCCTTTGATTGGACAACCTCACTGGAAAGGAGGTCTTGGTCCCCATGATCCTGAAAGAGGAATTAAAATTATGTTTCTGTGTTTCCTGTCATTAATTATCTCATAAAGACCTTGAAATGTGCTTGTGATGTCTATCACCAGCACATACGGAATTAAAGTTTTCTCCAAAGAGATTAGGTAGGCTCTTTTGCCTCCGAATACAAATTGTCAGTTGAAGTTTTACTGGGGAAACAATATTTTCAAGTTGCAGTTCAAGCTCAACAGCGAAAGTCTCATTCTTTCTATATCTTGTAAGCACTGTTGTGTTTTTTAAACTTACCCCCAAAGAGCATCCTTCTATTTTCCATTCCGTTTTTCTGCTCCATTTCCGCTCCTTGCCCCCAAGTTAAGGTGTTAAATTGTTTTTCTGTCAGAGCTAAATAACATGCTGCTGGATGCTTTAATAGGCATGAAGATGTGCTGACAAACCTTCATTTCAGATGGTATCTTGCTTTGCCAGGGCTTTGCTATTAAATTTGATGATGAAATACCTCATAAAAGCACCAGCCAATGTTGCAGCCATTTTGAGCTGCACGTGCTGGAAGCCGGGTTGGAAAATGTTAATATTTTCACAGTTGTGTCCAAAAAGTAATAATAATAAACCCCCCAACCCTTTAAATTCTGAGCCCAGAGTGTTCCTAGAGGTGCTGTTTACTGCCTGGCCCATTTCTGAGGGTGGAATTGCTGGCTGTAGCTCTGGTTGGAGGGCACTTGCTGTGGGTAGCAGCTATTCCCTGGGACTGTGGTCTTGTAACTTGGAGGGCAGTGAGCAAGTGTCAGCCTGGAACCAGAGAACTGCTGGCCCTGTCTCAGCAGTGCTGGGGCTCAGGTTTGGGCCATTTCTGAAGAGTTTTCACTTGGGAGCTTTAAATGAGGGCAAACATGAGGTTGCCTCTTTATTCCGAGCCAGGGTGTGCACGAATCCAGGTCTTGGGAGCTCAGCTCCCACACCAGGATTTGCATTCTTCGGATGGAGATCAGCATTAATGCTTGGCCTTGGCTGCAGGTTGGCAGCGTTGTGGTGGAGGTAGAACCAACACAACCCTCTGAGCAGGCTCCAAACAAACCTCCCAAAATCTTCCTGGCTTGTCCATCTCCCCACATGCTCTGGGGCTTTGGAGGCCTGCGGTGAGAGAGCACCGGGAATATCCATGTGCAAACTTGGTTGGATTGGGTATATAATAAAATATTCAAACTAAATTTTTCCTTCCCTTTTGAACATTTTTAAAAATTTTTCTCCTTCTCTTATTCCCTTGCCTATCCTGTTACTTAAAAATAAAAATTAGAGTTTCTTCTAATATAGATTTTATGATTCTGTCTCTGCCCTGAAGTTCCTGTAGTATGACACAAAGTCTTTGAGAGCAGCACTCCTCAAACTGGCAACAGCCAAACGTGTGGAACAAGTTTTTTATGCTGTGCTGAGTTTCTTTAAGCTAGTCCTCTATTCCTTCAGGAAAGAGAGTAATAAAAAAGTCTTCTTTAATATATTTTGGTACTGTGTCAATCAACCTTCTCTATTGCTTTTCAAATTATCTTCAAAATTTCTATCAAAAAAATGAATGTCAGTAACCAGATAATTGCAGATGTCTCAGTATCTTCCTGCTTTTCTGACAGAGAAGTAGAGGTCACCAACATTTATGGGTCTGGGACCTCAGCACAAGACATTTAACTGGAGCACTGCTTTGTTCAGTGCTAGGATTCAGTTTGAGCTGCACTGCAAACTCCTCAGAGCTGCAGTTTGTACTGAAAACTTGTTCTGAAAAGGGGACACGTCTCTCTGCTTAATATAACCCAAAGTCACTGCATCTGGTGTCCTGGCATGCATGTAATTGCCTGTAGCTTCCTAATGATAAAGGCAGTCTCACATGAGAAAATTCAGCATTGATCCTAGTCCTGATTTAAATTTTACTTTGTTAAGAAAATATTGATCAGCATAGATAAAACTCCTGATCAATGATCCCAGCACTTTTTTTTTTTTTTTTTTTTTTAAATAGCTTCCATTTTGGTGCAGTGCAGACTTTTGGTTTAACTGGCTGAATTGATATTCTGAGCAGCGAGTAAGGCAGGATGACAGAGCATCAGCACAGCTACTCCTGTTATTGCTCAGGGAGGTGCTCCTGCCCGCCCTGGCCAAGGCACAGGCAAGCCATGAGCCGCTGCTCTCCTAGGATGCTACAGAATACATCCCAACTTTTATCTGTGCTGTTTTACACATTCTTCCCCCATCCTCCCCCCCCCCCAAAAAAAAAAAATAGAAAAGAAAGGAAAAAAAAGGAAAAAAAAAAAAAAGAGGTATTTTCTTGTGTTCAGTCACTCACAGGATTGAACAGTTTGAAGTAGGGATATTGAAGTTATAGTTTGGACATTGTACATGCACTGATTGCAATTTCCTTTGAAAAAAAATTAAACTATTACACAGAAAATGTTCTGCTTTTCAAAGGACTGATGTCTCTCTCTTATTTTTGGTGTTTGGATTTGTTTTACACTGCCATAACACAGTATTCCATTGGAAAAGCCTTTTACATTTCTGAATCCTCTATGTGCTAATAATTCAAAATAGCAGACACATCATAACAACTCAGAAGGGATAGTCAGAAGCTGTAGATAAAATGCAGTGATTCCCCAAAGTGCAGGGCTGTAAGGAGGAAGAAGAGAAGGGCAGAGAGCTGCTCTGGCATGTGTGTGTGGTTTTACAGCACATGCTGATGTGACCAGATCAGATTAAACGGGGATATTTCACTCTTCCTCCTGTACGGGTTTGAATGCATGGCAGGCATGGCAGGGACACAAACACAACACAAACCCCATAGCGCTGCAAGGCTTTTTTTTTTTTTTTTTTGCTATTTTCCGTAGAATCCCCATTGTTCTTACATAAACAGAAAGAGCAGGGGAGGGCGAGCGAGCCGGATCTTTGCAGAGGGTGATTATGAAGTAATTTGCAGCACGGACACGCCGCCGTGGCAGGCTGTCAGCAGCGGGCACAGCCCGAGCATCGCCGGGCACTGCGGGCTCCAGCCCCGCCGCATCCTGCGCCTGCTCGGGGGTGCCGGGGATGCGCCGCTCCCCGCGCTCCCCGCGCCCCCTTTCCTCCACCACCTTCCATCCCCCCCTTTCCTCTTCCAGCGACAGTGATAGGACTTGACAACCCTTGTCCTTGAAGGTTTCTCCCGTTTCTGAGTAAGTGGCATATTCCTGGTCGCTTGCCATCTTCCGTTTTTGTCATTATCCCAGGGGAAGCGTTAAAAAAATCGCAAACAACAAACATGGTGGTTCAGTCCATATATTTTTTTTTTTTTGAATGATTTATTTTTTATTTATTTTTATCCCTTCCCCCCGTGCCGCGGTGGCGGTGCGGTGCGGCGCGGTGGCCCCGCGGTGGCGGTGCGGTGGCGGTGCGGGGATGCTGCGGGCACAGAGCGCTGTCTCCCCGGCGGGCGCTGCCGCGGTGGTACGGTCTGCAGAGCGGCTGCCCGCGCCCATGCCGAGCCCTGAGCCCTCCGCCCGCTAAGCCGGGAGCAGGTTGCGCTGGGGAGGATGTCTTAGCCAAGTAAGTAGCGACATCCACAGCATGAGAGCAATAATGATGGTGGTGGCGGTGATGATGGTGATGATAATAAAAAAAAAAAAAAAAAAAATTCTTTCCCCTTTCCGTTCCTGAGCTCCTTTATTTGGCATTTTTGCTGCCGGGGAAGGCGCGAGCTGATGGGAAGATGATGTGGGGACCGGGGCTGAGTGATGCATTAGGTTTTGGTTCGTGCCCTGGGAATCTCTGCAAAGGTAATGCTGCGACTCGTGTAGATTATTCTGTAAGGTCAAAGAGAAACTGCATAGCTAAAAGGCTCTCTTGCATCAGAAAGCGTTTGCCGGGCTTCGGTAGGTTGAGAATTCAGCATGATCTTGTTTTTGAAACGTATGGGCTTGATTTTGATTAAATCAGTTCTTTAGTGATGAGGAAAACACGTGGATGGGATTTTGCTTTTATCATTGCTGGTAAGAATCGGATGTGCCTTTTTTTTTTTTTTTTTTCTTTCAGAAGCTCACATTTCACTAAAATGTGAGCAGTACACTTTGACTGTTCTATTTTTCTACTTTAATGACCTCTTATGATAGGCAAAGCTATTTCATGCTAGAAAAATCTGTAATCTTCAAGTGGGTCCCTTTATAGAGCTGTTTATAGTCTTTCAGTGCGTTTGTTTGAAAGTAAAGGGCATGCAGGTTAAAACCCCCAAGCATTGCCTTTGTATTGAGAAGGACTAGAAAATAATGTGGAAGAAACCGGGAATTTTCTGTAATTCCTTTTTACCGTGCATGGTGTTTCCTGTGGGAAGATGGGGAAAGGCTTTCCTGAGGTGTTATGGTATAATAATTAAGACTTCTGACAGATAGACTTTCATTTTCATCTATTTATTTATTTATTTACTTAACCAAAAGAAGAATCAGCTCCAAATCCACGGAACGCTGCTTGGAGAAAAACCTTTTGGCTATCCGTGAGGCATCCGACGCTTTAAGAGCAAAGCTAAGATTCCGGGAGTCATTTCCGATTATGTAAAGGGAGATTCTGTGCGTTTGATCCGCGCCTGCGGCGCTGGCAGCTCCTGTGCCCCGCGCTCCGCCAGCGCCGGGCTCTGCCCCATCCTCCCCATCACCGATTTGAGGCTGGTCCTAAACGAGCCTGGGAGCTTCCCTGAGCCTGGCACGGCGCTCCCAGGGCTGCCCAGGCCATGGCTGGGGGCACCCCTGGCGCTCCCAGGCAGCCAGGAGCAGATGCTTAGCCCGCTGCTCCCGCTCCTGCTGCAAGGTGAGTGCTGAAGGGGCTCCAAGGGAATGGCTCTGCCTGCAGGAGAAACCCATTCCTTTGCCATCCCTGCTCCACAGGGCTGCTGCTCTTTGACCCCCTGGTGCCTTTCTGTTGTGGGGTTGGGGAAGGATTGCGGGGATATTGCACAAGTTGGGGTGGCTGGAGGAGAGCTGGCACGTTTAATGTGGGAAAATTGCGCTTTTATTGCTGGGGTTTGAGGTTGATGTCAGGTATTTGTGGTATGAAATTGATAACGGGGGGGTTTTGCTAGTATTTGCTTAGAGAAGGGATTACAGATCCACTTCATAGTCCACATGTTTTTTCTTTTTTTTTTTTTTTTTTTTTTTACTGCTGAGATGCATTCCTGATTAGCATTTAATTTGTGAGAGGTCATCCATATGCATGACTGGCTCTTGTACCTTGCTCTGGAATAACTGTTTGACTCAGGTATCCAGCAGGTCTTTGATCACAGACAGCTTTTACTTTGTTCATGCTCCTCTCATTTTAATCCAAATTGCTACCTGTGAAGAGGTGGTTCACATTTTTCCTGTAGTGCTGGTAAAATGAGTAAGTTTGTGAATAAGGCAATAAAATAAGGCTTGTGGATAAGTTGTGTAGAGCAATGCAGCATGAAGGTTTTTCCTTTTTATTTATTTTTTTTTCTCTGTCTGCCCCCTTTTTATCCTTTTTATGTATCGATCTTCATTTCTATAGAGAATTGATTTTGGTCCGCATCAATGCTAAATATACATTCATTTTCATGGAAAAGGTCAATTTTCTTCTCTGCTGCAAATCAAAACGGCATGATATTCCTCATGATTTCTGCATATATAAAAAGGTTGCATGCATGTATATTGGAACAGCTTGGAAGAGTTTCATGCTTCCCAGCAGGATTCCAGGTTGCAGAAGACATGGTAATGATGAACTAGGTATCATACTGTTCTTCTAAGAGCTGCCGTGAAGTCACTTTTGTGAGTGCTTTTTTCCTTTTAAATTTCATACCATGTAGCTAGGAAACAGCTTGGAAAGGTTTTCTTCCCCCTTTTCATCTTCCCCCAGATGTATAGCTTATCTTTCCCAGTGCTGTTGGGTTAGGGGATGCAACATTTTTTTGAATCCTACTAAATATATATTTATATATCTTCCTGTCTCAATACAGCAACTGTGAGTGTATGTCCTGCTAAGATATGAAAATTTTAAAAGTGTTATTGCTTTTTAAATTTTTTTTTTCATTTTCATCCTGGAGTTCACATTGTCAAATGCCAGCTGTGCACGTAGTAATTCCTTGTTACATTTTGGAATTAATGTAGAAGTCTTGACCTTGTAACTCCCTCTCTCACTCACCGAGAGCCCATTGCACTGCAGTAGGACTCCGGCAGTGGGGCTTCTCTGAATGGACCCCACCTCCTTTAAGAAATGGAAATACTTTTACAGCTTGCACATAAAAATCATGTTCTGAAGGGAAGAAAGTGGTTAATTTGATTAACCTGACTGGGAAACCTTGTGGAGAATAAGCTGCCTTTTGCCAGGTTTTTTCATTCTGTTTTCAAGGAGACACAATGATGGATGTGGAATTTAGCAAGTACTGCTCTGATTAATTACGTTCAGATTATACATTATCTGATCAAATGTCAACCTCCCCCCCACGGTTAAAACCACACATTTCTGATTAATTTTAACATGCCAGTTGAAAAAGGGGTTAAAAACCAAACCAAAACAAAAAACAACCCAACAGCTAAGGATTCGAGAGGTGTTTTTGTATAATTTAGATATTAAAACACGATGCTAAAGCTTCAGCCAGCCCCTCTGTGGGATCCTTCTGGTGCTGAGGCAGGCAGGGAGCGATGACTCCGCTCTGAATGGAGCCTCCCAGAGCTCCCTCCGTGTGTGCCGGGGTAGCTCGGAGCCTCTGCAGCCCCTGCAGTCCGGGCTGGCACCCGGGCAGCATCACCCGCCGCCCTGCACCCTGCCCAGCAGGGATGCTCCACGGGATCCAGCCTTCCCCAGCTCCCCAGCCGGGCTCCGAGGTAATAGATCCTTAGTGGAGCAGTTGCATAAGAGAACAGTCTTTCTCTCTAGGTAGGTTATGCTCCGCATGCTGGATGGGGTTTTTTTTTGTGTGCCAACAGAGATAAATAAAAGGCATTGTGGAGGTTATATAAATGTATAGGTTTTAATTTCGTCTGTAAAACAACGGAGAGGGTCAGTAGCATTTTATTGTAATCTTTATTTGAAAGTTCGGTGCCCTTTTGTAGGAAATGTAAGCGTACGGTACAATTTTAAGAGCTCTAGGGTTTTTGGTTGAAGTTTTACTCATGCTTAGGTTAAAAAGCATGGTTTTTACTGTTGTATTTTTGATCAATAACCTTGGCTTTTGCATTTAACCTGGCGATTTGCAGTTGAAGAAGAAGCAATGTATTAGAGAAGGGTTAGGAACGAGGCGTATTTTAATAAATTTAAGAGGCTGTCAGCTCTGTAAAAGGCAGGACGTGTTCCCTCTGAACACTGCAGATGAGTGAAACATGGAGCCTCAGAAGGGATGTGGAATTCCTGTTTAGGTACCAGAGTTGGCAGAGCTGGGAAATGGTAACCAAGTCATGAACAAGTTCATCCTGCTGGTAACATGTTTTCCCTTGTTTTTAAAATATTCATGGCATAGTTAAAGCATCTGAGGGCTGTGCACCAGGCTCTCAGAGAATCCTAGAAACAGTTAATGGGAAAAGCTAGAAGAGGACCAGCAGTAGATCTGGGATTTCTATGGAAGAGTTTGTGCATTTTTTGCCTTTTGTCTCCTTTGCCCATACGGTGAAGGTGAAATGGCTGGAGAAAGCAGCTGATTTTAGAGGCACAGAAGAGTTGAGGTTGGCAGGTACCTCTGGAGATGGTCCAGCCCAACCCCTCCTGCCCCAGGTGGAGCCACCTATAGCAGGGCAATGTCCAGTCAAGTTTTCAGCATCCCCAAGGATGGAGACTTCCCAACCTCTCCACCTGTGACACCTGCCAGTGTTTGGCCACCCTCACAGCTTTTGACCTTTTAATTGATTCTTCTAGCTTTGCTCTCCTTGCCTTTTTGCCTCTACCCAGACACCATTGAGAAGAGTCTGGCTCCATCTCCCTCAGTTTCTCCCATCAGCTGTTTATTGATGAAGTCCCCCTGAGCCTTCTTCTCTCCAGGATGAGCAGTCCCAGTTTTCTGAACCTCCCACCTGCATGTCAGCTGCTCCAGTCCCTTCCTCCCCTCTGCAGGTCTCTCTCCAGGAAGTCCAGGTCTCCTTTGTCTGGGCAGCCCAGCCCGGGTGGGAGCACTGGGATGTCCCAGAGTGCTGGTGGGAAGGGGGGCAGCCCTGTGCTCTGAGGACACTCTGCTGGCTCCTGCTCAGCTTCGGCTCCAACAGGAACCACAAGGCCTTTTCTGCAGAGCTGCTTCCCAGCCAGCTGGCCCCCAGCCTGGCCTGCCTCAGGGGCACAAGTTTGCCTTTCCCTTTGTTGGCCATGCTGGGATTCCTCTTGGCCCGTGGCTCCCTCTGGGAGGCAGCTCATCCATCTGGTGGCACAACCACACCTCCCCATTTGCCCACTCTGTGCCCCTGCACAGGGTGCTCTGTTCCTTCATCCAGGCCATTAATAAAACACTTGGCTATTGCATCAAAAGAAATCTCTTGGAAGGAGAAGATTAGAGCTGGAACTGCAATTTCAAGATTTAGCCCAGGACTGAAGTGCTGTGTTAAAAAATGCCAAGAATTGGTCAATATTCTGAATACGTTTATGGTTGAGAGCGTGGAATTTGCAATACTGAATGCCCAATGCATTGCATCAGCATCCCAGGGTTTGAGGATGAAACAGGAAAATCAGTGATTCAGATTTACTGAGAGCTTATTTTATATATTAAAGAATGAAGACTCACAGCTGATGAAGTAATTTCAATTGATAATTTCATTCACTGCATTTCAATTAAAGTGAGTTAAAAATAAAACCATATGAAATGAATTAAAAATAAAATGAGATTTAGTCCAATCTGATTTGGATCTTGCTGAAAAATCTGTCGCACAGAATGTGGAAACAGGATAGGGAAGATGCTTATCTGTGGGATGTTGGGCAAAGAGCTATTTCTGTAGTCCTCGCCTGTCCAGTTCACTGACCTTCCCAGCTCCTGACCTCTGGAAATTAGCTGGCCATTTGGAGAAAATGACACTCCTCATACACACACTCCATCTGAGGAGATTTTTACTTAGACAAGAGCTGTCTTAGTCTGATAAGTTATCTTCTGTTCTTCGGTTTGGATTGTGTTCCACAGTATAAATCCATGCAGACTTTGGACCACAGTTCAGGATGAGATGCAGAATTTTAAACAGAATTTGGGATTCCTCCTTCAGCATCCCCCAGCTAAAGTCTTATATGACAATTCCCACCAGCTGTCACAGGTGAGGCAGAGAAGGACAGCCCATGCTGGGATGGAATGATGGAGTTTATTCCAGATCCAACAAGTTTTGGGCTTTTACCCTGCTTGATCTCACACACAGGCTGTCCCAGGTATCCTCCAGCTTTTGTCTCCATGCATCTCAGAATTCCAGGATCTCCCCTCACTTGTCTTTCCAAACTCCTCTTGGTCTTCTCTCCAATCTCTACTTATTTTTATCCTGGATACCCTTGTTTTCTCAGAGACCACTTCTTTGTTCAGCCTCATCTTCCTTCTGGAGCTCAAGGGGCCTCAGTTTTCCAAATCTCAGACGCCCTGCCACGATCAGTCCCTTTGGTGGTGCTGTCTCATCTCTCTGCGCTAATTCCGTGCTCCACTCTCTTTAGTCCAGGTAAAACCTGCAGCCAACACAGTGAGGCTGGAACCAGCAAGGAGCAGGCTCGTGCTGATGTCCCAGCGTGGGACAGTCTGGGACACCTTTACAGCCTCACACACATTGTGGGATCTGCTGTGCTCTGCTCTGAGGCCATCTGTCACCTGTGCTGGAATGGGGGCCTCCATCCCCATTCCCCTGGCTGCCTCAGCCTTCCAAGCACAGGTCCTGCCATCCACAGCCTTTGCTCAGCAGACTTTCTGTGCCTCAGTGGGCCTTGAGGGAAGAGGGACACTTCCCAGAGTGGTGGTGGCTCTTTGGAACGTGCACTGTTTGTCTTGGGGCTGGACAAATTTGTTGCAATGGTTGTGCTCAGCATCTCACTAACCTTGGCACCCCCCTGGTGCTGATGAAGCACAACAAAATGCTCTGCCACCGACCTGACTTGTCTTTCACAGTGGTACACCTTGTGTCACACAGGTAATTAGAAGGGAACAGCGTTCCCAATAAACCCTTCCAGTCTCCTTGGGAAATGTGCAATCCCAAATGTCAGGAGGCAGCATTGATCTGTGTCCTCTGTAAGTCAGTTGGAGAAGAAGCTGCTGTCCTGGCTGAGGACAGCTGTTCAGTTTGCACTGCAATGTCCATGTCCCTTTCCTCTGCTTGCATTGTAATGAACATTTCACACGTTGTTCTAAAAATACCTCCAAATGATGCTTGGTATTAAGGGACCAGCAGATATGCAATTACAATGAAATGATGATTTAGTGGTGTTTTTCACATTGAGATTGTCATCTTCCTTCCCCCAGTGCTTGAAGCAATACCTATTTATGAGTAGTTGAGCTAACCTGGGAAATTCCAAGAAGAATTGCAGACGGCTCCTGAGATGCAATGCAAATTGTTGCAGTACCCATGGAGGACATTTGCATTATGGTAGGACTGGTTGTCTCAGTAATGCTGTCGTGGTGATTGTTATGCAGAGAACTGCAGGATAAAATGGTAGTGCTAAATCAGCAGTGCTGAATAAGATGGCTGAAAATGCCAGGAAAACAAACGGTTGGAGCAGGAGGATTACAGGAAGAATGAGAAGTAAGGCACCTCTCAGCTTTCTTGGGGACCAGCTTTTGGTTCTGCATGGCTCTCACAGAGCATTTGGTGCCTCTCTGCTCCCCACGCTGTATCACTGTGCCCCAGGCAGGACAGAGCTCCTGCCATGGAGGGGAAAGGCTGAGGGGTGCCCTGAGTGCCTTGGGCTGACCCCAAAGGACTGCCCTGATGTTTCCACTGCAGCGTCAAGAGCTCCCCTTCAGGGCACGGAGGTTTTGAGTCGATGTTTTATACTGAGTGTTTGTGGGGAGCTGTTATCCCCAGGGCACTGTGTTGGTGAGTTTGCACCACCGTTGGCAGAATCTCTGGTTTATTTGATTTTTAATCTTGTTTTGGTTCATCTAAAATAGGAGTGGGTATCTCTGTCTGTCCTGTGTGATGCCTAAATATTACAGATAGGTACAGAGAGGTTGGAGGTACAGGAGGGCTTGGAGTTATTGACATGCTTGGGCTGAAGTGGGAAGACAAAAAAGGGGAATCTATTTTTTCCCAGGAATATGTGACACGACAAGAGGTGACATGGACAGGGACCACTGGAGCCTGTGTAAAATGAAGTGGTTTGGATGTGCAGGCGGGACCTGGCTCGTCCCCAAGCTGAGGGAAGCCCGGGTGGGCCAGCTGCTGCCTGTGGATGGCAACAGACTTGACCTTGGAGAAGGGAGAATGTGTTAAGAGAGACAAAGTGTGCTCAGACGCTTGAATTGCTGCCCATTGCTTTGGTTATCTTCTTATAAATCTTAATATGGCTGTTTAGTTGAAGCAAGTGCAGTTAGGATGCCATTCCCTGCCTTGGGATGGATCCTCCCCTCCAGCCATGTTTTCAAAATAAAGAAAAAAAGAAGCAGCAGTCTGAGGAAGGCACATATAAAATCTGCAATGCAGAAACAGGATTATATATTTATCTGAGTTCTCATGTAGACAGATGATTAATACAGCACCAGCTACAGGGTTTACAGCTTGGTATATCATTAAGGTTCCCTGTAACTCTAATGTGAAAAGATAATAAATGAAGCGTCCTCGTCCCTGCCCTTGTCCTCCTTTTTCTAGTTTAGAAATACACTTGGAAGTTTTAATCTGAAAACATGATTCTGGTACCAGAACTGAGGATGTAAAGGAATGAAAGAGAAAATGGAAGACATCTGAAGTGTTTTTTTTCTTGAACCTTCTTGAGACTTAAAATTGAGTGCATGAGGTCTTAACACACAAGCCTCATTTACGTATCTGCTTTAGGATTAGGAGGGGATCTTGAAAAATATTGCTAGGAAAGTATTTTTTGGGGATTTTTTTTCCACTTGGTAGAGAAAACTAACATACAATTTCTTAATTGGGTCCAGCTTCCTTCTAAGGAAATCTTGTTCCCCTGCTTTACCTTATCTGGAGCAATGAAAGCTGCAGATACAGGACATGTTAAAGTTTTTAGTATTGATCATGTAAACAGCAGTGCTTTCTGAGCTTTAGTTGCCAAACCCTGAGAGAAGAATAATTGCAATATTTAAAGTAAAGCTGAATTAGAATGCTATGAAAGAACAAATATTAAAGTAAGTAGAAACATCCAAACATATTCCTTTTAAAGAAGGCACTTTATAGTGGGAGTCAGTCCTGGTGAGCTCAGTGCTGTTGTGGGCATTGGGAATCAAAGAGGATTAGGGTCTGGGATCCTCTGGAAAGCTTCTGTGCTGGATTTATCCCGTCAGAGAACTGACCCTGCTGCATTCAGGCAGAGCATGACCCAGGCTGGTGGCAGTGGCAGCAAATCAGAGTGGGATGGCAGTGCTGGAAGGGCTCACACTGACCCTGAAAAGTGCAAAGGCTCCTGAAGGAGGGCACTTTTCACAGGGAAGCTTGGGAAGAGTTCTGCCCATTGCTGGATTAGGGAAAGGATAAATCCTTGCACATGGAGAAGAAAATCACTATCTGTGTGTGTGTAGCATGTATGCATCTCTAAAAGCCCCCAAACAGAGAGCAGTTGCTCTAAAATCCTTCTTGCTCTTTGGTTTACTGTGGAGTTTAACTCCATTTAAAGTTAATCTTGCAGTGGTTCACTTGAAAACAATACCAATTTTGTACTGCCTCCCACACACCAGATCCACTCCCTTCCTCAGTAATTCGTGTTTGACCTCACAGCTGGTTCTCCAGAAACTTTCCTCCCAGCTGCCAGATATTTCTGTTCAGGAGTTACCCTCAGGAGCAGCAGCACATTTCCATGTTGGTCTGGCTTTTGTGTTTGTTCTATAGTGAACACAGAGCCTCAGAGCTCGAGGCCTTACTTAATTCAAAATTTTATATGGTTTTGACTTTCTCTCCCATGACTCTGCTTTTTTATAGCCCCCAAGTTCCACCACAGCAGTAAGAAAACAAATACAGGAATGCTTGTGATTACTTCAGATAAAAATTTCTTCTTGGGAGCTGTGGAGTTCATTCCTGCAGAGAACTGAACAGACCAGGGAATGAACCACGCGCTCCATTAAATCAAGAGAGCACCAAACATCTGTGGTGGTGGCCATAAGGGCTCCATGAAGCTGGTTTTAGCTCAGAAAGGAAAAGGGAGGAGATCCTACTCTTTTTTTACCTCTTTGTGGGGAGAGCAAAGCAAATATGAGCATAGAAATAGGGAATCCCCTCAAACCTGTTGTTATTATTATTTATTATCCCCTCAAACCATATTATTACATGGCTTAAATTGAAGATCCATCAGCTTCCATGGGGAAGGCAGAAGGTGGGATATTTTGGGATATTCCATGTGTGCATATAAGAAATAGCCTTGTAAGGAAAAGGTATGTAGGCCAGAGGCAGTGGTTTGGAGGTTTTTTAATCCATGTGGAGGATGGAAAAAAATCTCGTCCTAATTAAGGTATTTCCGAGGATCTCTGTTATCAGCAGTAAATTCCTTTGTCTGCAAACAGGTCTTGACCTTGGCAAGTCCCAGGGGTGTTTCTGTGGGAGTTTCTGGGTGCAGCTGTAGGAGCCAGTGATGGAAGAAAGGTTTTATGGGCCACGCAGGCTCCTCGGCACATCCAGGCTCTTACCCAAGCAGTGGAGTAAACACATCCACAACTGGTGACAGAAAAATTCACAGAATTCACAGAACCACTGGGCTGGAAGAAACCTTCAAGATCATCGAGTCCAACCCAGCTTCAACACCCCAACTCAGCTCTGGCACCCAGTGCCACATCCAGTCTGTTTTTAAACACACCCAGGGATGGGGACTCCACCACCTCCCCGGGTGGCCCATTCCAGAACTTTATCACCCTTTCTGTGAAAAACCACTCCAAACCTGATGTCTGATGGGAAAATTTCTTTGGTGCCTTCTCAGAACATTTGCAGAGTGGCAGAGCTGCTGTCAATCTGTCCCTCGTCCCCCCATGCAATCCCCATGTCCCCAGAGCTTTGGGCAGCTTTTCCTCCCCAGAGCCTCTCCATCACAGCCCAGCAAAGTTGATTTTTAGCATTCATCTCTCTTCCATGCCTACCCAGAGGAGGGAGGGAATTTGCTGTGTGTCTTTGCAGGACTTTTTGAGATGAGTTTTGAGAATTTAGGTGGTGCTGGTTCAGCCTGTGCTTGGGTTTCTCCACAGCCAGTGTTCCCTAGAAATCTTTTGTCTGGGATTTCTTGCCTGACTGTGTGGAGCAGCCTCTCCCTGTTTTTCAGACTGATGGATATATGGGTTGTTGCTTGTGGATCTTCTTCGGCATCATCTGCTTTCATTAGCATTTTTGAACAAAGGAATGAATCAGAATAAATCACAACTAATAGAAATATAGGAACAGATTATCATTTTGCAAAGCTGAACTCTCTCAGAGGAGATTACGTATTTAAATTTAACAAATACAACTTCATAAATAAACTAAATTAAACATCATCTAATTTTACTTTTGAAGCCAAGCAATTTTAATCCATACTCAGCTTCTTGTATAAATATTTCCCAACTCCATTTTATTCTTTGAGGCATTCTTATTCATATTTAAAAACCAAAAATGTGCCAAATTGAACCACAGTTGTGTATACTGAATAAATGTAAAAGCTTGGGTATATTACATAATAATCTGGGAGTTGGCAGGAGGGAGTGATTGCATTTGTGAGTGTCCAAGTAGTGTAAAAATGCTTTTGCAGAACCTAATATTTGTCTCTAAAGCTCTCTGACTGATGGCGTGCCTGAAAAATCCTTTTCATAAATCCCTTATGCAACGTTCAAAAGGAAGCAATAGATGATTAGAAATCTATATATTTCCCCAAGGATAATTGATGCAGAAACTGTGGTGCTTCAAGCATTGCCCAGCTGGTCTGGATTGTGAGCAAATCCCAGTTGGAATTCCTGATGGAAGGGCTGTTTTACTGCAGAACTAATTCTTAGAACTGGGAGCATTTCAACCGCCCCCCCCAAATATGTAATTGTGAGATTGGAAATGTGCTTTATCAATCATCTTATTAGATTAGATGGACCTTAAAAAAAAAAAAAAAAGGTAATTAGGTTGAAAAATTCTTATTAAGTGTTTCATAGGATTTTCACAAAGCTGAAATACAATTTTAGTCCAGCCTGCTTTCAGCCTAAAAATCACAATCAAAAGCCACTTTCCAGAATTAGGCGTAAATGCAGTTCTCTTTGCAGAATTGACCTGTCCAATGACTTCAGGGGCTGAAAATGTTCAACAGTGCTTTTCAAAAATACTTCCTTTCTAAGTAAATCAGATGTAAAGTTACCAAGAACTTGGTTCTCATCTAATATTTTGAAGATAGGACAAAACAAGAGAAGTGAAAGAAATCTGCATCTTTTTTCTGGTTTTAATATTGTGCCATTTATTGATGAAGATTTTATATAAAGTTTGAAAAAAATCTTACAGGTAAGATTTATTTTTTCATAATAAAATCACCAAAATGAATAGTTTGGGTAAAAAATTCTGCTTTTCTTACCACACTTAGATTTTTCTGGGAATAGTTGAACAGTGCTTTTCCCAGTGGTTGATGTGAGCATTTGCTGTGTAGCAGCAATTCTGTAGAGCTTTGGGATTGTAGATTGATGGCAGGGCTGGAATGGCTGGATTTGTTCTTCAAATGCAAAGCAGCCAGGAGGAAGGTGAGGAAATTGAGCTGCTGCTGTTTGTTCCATCTTCCATCACAAACGAGAGCTCCTGGCTGGGAATTTTGTCACGTAGCAAATGACAAAAATGCTCCTGTTGGTTCTAAGTGCAGGCAGGTCCTGCTGAAATCCAAATAAATTCCACTTTCCTGGTGAAATGAGCAGCCCTGGATAGAGGAAGGTTCCTGAGGATGGGGTGAGCACTGCTGCATCAGTGCTGCTCCAGGTTTTCAGGATGTCCTTGAGTAAGTTTGTAGGGATGGTAAGATGAGAGGAGGGATAATTTCATTGGGAGAATGCAGCAAGGAGTGGTTCAAGAGCTGCATTTTGCAAGTGAAATGTTCTAACAGTCCTGCAGCTTGGAAATATCGCGAATAATCAAGGACTTGTCCCCCAATTATGTGCTGGTGACAAATTAGGTGCTCCTCAGGCTGGGGCACATGCAGGGAGAGGTCAGCTGCAGATGTGTAAAGAACATTAAATGAAAAGGGTTTTCTGCAAATAGCACTGACTAGATTTTGATAATTCTTGCAAAACAAAAATTTGGCATAAAAATTTTCTATTTTTTGGTAGTGCCTCTTGCTGCAGAGAAAGAAATGTGAGAGCATAATTTAACGTAAGTTGTCAAAACAATATTTTGACTCTTTTCCGGTGGACTGCAGTTTTTTCCTTGCCACCAAACTCCTGGATGCATTCCAGTCTTTATCAACCTACCTGTTGTTCTGGACATTATTTAATCCTATCCATCAACTGTCTGTTAGCTGCAAGAACATATTTTGCATATTCAGACCTTCTAAACATTGCTTACACATAAAAAAGGCTGATAAATCCCTGTATTTTCTGATAGACAAAATATAGTCTAACCTTTAGTGGTTTAATCACCATTCCACATATACAAAATAATTATAATTTAAAAATTATTCTTCTCAAACAGCTGTTTTTTTACAGCATGAAAAGGATTTGATATTTGAATAATCAAGGCATGGAAAGTGTGGTGCTGCCTAGGATTCAGATTGACATCTTGGTCTAGAACATTAAATACTATCTTATGCACAAAATGTTAATTATTTTATTAAAATCTGTATTCATGAATCATTCTCTGACACAAGGCAATGTACTTGCAACTCAAAATAACCTCATTTGAGCAAATGTTTCTAATCAAGGAGAAGTGGCCTGGTATGATGCTGCAGAACAGTTGGCCAGAGGTGTGCAAAGAATATTTTTAACAGTGTTTTTGGGGCTTGGTGAGGTTCCTGCAGGAATTCTGACAAAGCCACTGGTGAGGGTGGTGCTGCCTGCTGCCTCTACTGGGGTCAGGTGGGTAAAAGCCAGCAGAAGGGAATGTCAGCATCAGTGTCAGACTGGGATTGTGCCACGGCCGTGCTGGGAGCTGTGTGACTCCTGCGCTGTCACTGAGAGCTGCCATCAGCAGGAGGGAAATATTCAATACCGACCTCGCCACTGTGTAATTTTCCTTGCCTGCTCTCCAGGGGGATGCAGATCTGCTGAGGGCAGGAGCTCTGCAGAGGGCTGGGGACAGCCTGGACCCATGGGCTGGGGACAGCCAGGCCAAGTGCCGGGTCCTGCCCTGGGACCACAGAAATCCTGCAGCTCCAGCCTGGGGTGGGCAGCTGGAAAGGTGGGAAAGACCCTGGGGGTGCTGGGGACAGCGGCTGGACACGAGCCCAGAGGTGTCCAGAGGTGCCCAGGTGTGACCAGCTGTGCCCAGCTGTGCCCAGGGGTGCCCAGGTGGACACAAGGCCAGTGGTGGGCTGTGCCAGCCCTGGGCTGGCAGCAGGACCAGGGCAGGGATTGTCCCCTGTGCTGGCACTGCTGAGGCACCACCCCAAGTCCTGGGGCAGCGCCGGCCCCTCACAGGAAGGACCTGGAGGGGCTGGAGGGGTCCAGGGCAGGGAACGGAGCTGGGAAGGGGCTGAGGGAGCTGGGAAGGTGTGGGAATCCAGGGCTTCCCTCTGGCTGCCCTGGCAGGTCTGGGACCCTGGCAGGGGGTCAGGAACCCCCCTGGACAGAGCCCCCAGAGACACTGACTGTGATCTCTGTCCATGGAGAGGAGTTTTCAATCTTACAGGATGAATTACCATCTCTGAGTGTTTGATATAAGTAATAATTAAGTGTGACACGGGTGCAAAAGTAAAATTTTAAGTTTCTAGATTAGGGGTTCAGAGGGGACAAGATGGAGGAATTGGGTGTGTCTTGTCCTTTTCCTCCTTCTTCATGCCCTCCATGTTTCACTGTGGTGTTGGCATTTTTCTGTTGGCTCAGGCTGGGGACACACTGTTCAACGTAGGTGACAGATATTGGCACATTATTGTAAATCCAGCACAGGTAGTTTGTGGTATTTAATGTTTGTACCATCCCACTGAGGGCAGAGCCCCACACGCTGCCCTGCAGGACAGAGCTGCGGCAGGGCAGCAGAACATGTTAGAGATAAACAGAATAAACAACCTTGAAACAGCACAGACCAATTATGGCTTCTGCTTTGGCAGCGGGGCAGAAAGACAGAGACTTTCTACAATCTCGGAATCACCAATACCCACAGATTCTGACAGGAAGGGGCTGAGCCTGGAGAAAAGGAGCTCAGGGGGGACCTGATGGCTCTGCACAGCTCCTGCCAGGAGGGGACAGTCGGGGGGTTCAGGCTCTGCTCCCAGGGAACAGGGACAGGAGGAGAGGGAACGGCCTCAGGCTGGGCCAGGGGAGGTTTAGACCTGGGAAATAAAAAAAAAAAAAAAAAAAAAAAAAATCACTAAAGGGGGGGTCAGGCATTGGGAAATCTGCCCAGGGAAATGGTGGAGTCACCATTCCTGGCCATTTTCAAAAAGCATCCGGATGTGGCACTTGGGGACGCGTTTAGGTGATGATAACTCTTGGATGCAGTGCTCTCCAAAGGCTTTTCCAGCCTAAACAGTTCTATCCGGTTCTGGAGAAAATGTCCC